ACCGCAAAACACCGGCTCTGGTACTTGAATGGAGAAGCTCCTGTATATTCATTATGCTGGACTGAACAATCGTTAATTAAGATGTCTCATTTAGGAGGTCACTGAACCCTGAACCGCAGTTTACAAGTGCTAGAGGATTTACCCTTGCTACGACAAAAGTACCTTCCAAGTTCAGATGCAGTCATCTTGGGGAAAAAAAATTCCATTCAAAAAAGGGAACTCTTGACAGCACTTGACACCTGTCCTGAGATTTTCTGAGTGTGCAAATTCAATGAAATATTTCTGAATGTGAAAGCTCCATTCTGGTCTCTTAAAGTGCCTGTGGAATAGGAGGCTTTCAAGGACTGGGGAAATTCCAGTATGTTCAGAGAAGGATTCTGTCAGTTTAAGCATGTTCACTAGAGTATTGCTCTTTTTTGGGATTGTTTTTTATTTTTGCCTTTTCTCTCTCTTTTTTTTTTTTTTTTAAAAAAGACAACCAACCCAGTAGCACTTCTGAAAGGCTTTTCTATAAAGCATAATGGAGTGCTAGACTCTTATTTCCTCTTTCTTTTAATAGCAGTCATGTAAGAGAATTAACAGGGTGTTTACTTCTCTTCCCACATGATAGCTGACAAATTGCATCCCTTCAGTTTTATTTCTGAAGCAGACCGATACATGAATTTTAAGTTGTGTATAAAGCATGCAATAGTCTGCTTGGTCAGTGATTAAGGATGGACCCAGCCCAACAGGCAGAACGTAGCTTATTTAAAGCTCTAGCAGAACTGGTAATCAACCTCTGACTGTCAAAATACAATCCCACTAAAGAATAACAACGAGAAATGCATGAAGACAACCATTTTGATATAGTTCTTAGAGGCAGGGTGATCTAATTAATAGTGTCAGAAGCAAGAAAAAGCTGGGTGGACCTAGCTCCAGCTAAAACCCAAAGAGCATTTTATTATCTAGCTCATGGCAAGGGGACCCTGTGGAATAAAGCAAGAACAGGGAGCTCTGGTAGCTGATTGACTCAAACAGTATTTCAGCACAACGTTTGGAATAGACTAGACAGGGGCGCACACAACGCCATCTTTTGTTTCCTACTTTCCTGCAATGAAGGGCAATTCCCTTCATGTATTTTAAAGGAATGTGCTATGATTAGAGTAGAACCCACGCTCATCTCACACTACAATAGTATAAACTATAATAGAGACAGCTTACAGTTACCTTAGCCATTTTTCCCCCTATTTCTAATAGTAAAAGGAAACTAATACACAACAAAAATAGGGTTAGTAGCTTTTATTAGCCGATTATCAATATTAGTTGTCTATCCTTCCTAAATCTATAACCATTTAAACTAGTTTCTGTAGAAATACAAAACAAATGAGTGAAGTCTGTATATACAAACAAAATATTTAAGTTCAGCACTGCACCCCCACCCCCCCTTACACTTCAGCACAAAAAAATGCTTCCAACCCTGATATACTACTGCACTAGCAGGTTTGGCTCCAGACCCTGGCTCCATATCAAACCCGTTGCTAAAGAGCATAATAAAAATAAAAATTACTTTATCAATTTAAATAGACATTTGAATGATTAAAACAACATAACTAGCTGCTCTTTTAACACAGGCTACTTACTTTCTTCCCTCCCATAACCTTAATTCTCTTCCTCTTCCCTCTAAACCCAACTTTGAAGGCATTCATTAAGAGTTGTCTAATGAATTAAGACAAGTCTCTGCAAAAGCATCTGAAAGAGATGCCCAGCAGGAAAAGGGTACAGGAAGTACTGATGCTTGCAGCTAAAACTTGTATTACAAAAATATGCATTTCTGAATTTTAAGCAATTTTCTTTATATAGGAGACTCTCATATCAGCTTTATTGCTAAATCAAAGTTATGAGATTGCATAACAAATAGTGAAAGGCATAACTGTTAAAGAACAACATGTAATCACCTTTTAATAAGGAAAAATAAATAAATAAAAAACACCAAACACTCGCAACTTTGTAGTCTAGCCTACCGAGCTGTATTTGGTACAGTCATAGTAACAATAAATTAGTTAAATGTCAAGCGAAAAACAACTTGCTTTACAACTTGTTCATTTAAACTAGGCTTTTCTTATACCAAGAATACTAATACATGCTGCTGTCCTAACACTCAGGTCAACTCTCCCACAAAAGAACCAGATTACTTGAACAGTATGGTCATATTTACTGCTTACAATAAACAATATTATCTACTGGAAACAGAATTAGAGGGTATGAATTTTGAAGTATACATGAGACTGGGTAAACAACATTGATAAGCCATCCTCTTACGGGTTGCCATTTCCTCACTTCAACATTGACCAGCCTGTTAATGAAATCAAGACCTCATCTTCTGAACTAGCTCATGTAAGCCAAAATGTCAGCAGGTCTGACTTTCTATATACATATGTCACCTTTTAAATGTTTAATATGCCCTAAAGTAGTATTTTTGCATTTTGTTTCTTTGATGTAGTAACAGATGTACGGTTTTTATTGAACTAGGCTTTGTTCTTTTTGTTGCTGTCTCCATAAAAAGACTCTTTGGGCATGGTTAGGAGAGCAGGCAGTATTTCTTAGTTGCAAATTTCTAGCCACTTTCCCTAGTGGTAGCTACACAAGGCAACCTCCATCATGGTCTGCTTTCCTATTCTCAAAACCAATCTGTCCAGCATTGTGAATCTTTTCCAGCCCATCAGAAACAAAACTCCATGTCAGAAGAATATTCAGACTTGGTTGCAAAAAAGGCATCATGTAACTGAAAACTTCTAAAGGCACATTATATGTATATGACACATAACTGTATGCAAGTATGCAATCACTTCTAAAGTTCTCTAGATGAAGAACGTTCTCCCTGACAAGCTATGGTAAGACATTTAAGAAACTGACAAATCTTTCTTTCAGATATTAGTTTTTTAGGGTCACTTGGGAAGATAAAATACCTGTGTTAAGAAGCATAATGAAAAGTGTTATTAAACTGTTCTACGGCAGTTGAAAAGCTTAATACTTAAGACCTAAAGCCTTCCAGCAACACTGAAGAAATCCTTACCAGTCCATTAGTATGATTACACATGTCCCATAAAGGTATTAGAGCCAATGTAACTCTGGAACCATCTTCTGTTGGAATCTGGTTCTGCCGTGTCATAACAGAGGAAACCGCCCATCTACAAAAATTAAAAAGATTAGATGGTCAGTGTTCAGAACATCAATATATGACGGGCTATAGTCCAACCTGAAGCAATCATTCAGGCTAGGAGTTCCCAAACTTAGGTTTCTTAACGATCACACTGACTATAACAGTAGAAGGCAACATCACTTGCAAGAGAAGCAGCAGCTCCTAGGTTTCCAAGACATGCACATAAATCAATTCCCAAATCAGGACTGCAATCCCACCCCTCTTCTGTGCTCTTTGCAACAGAACCTTCCCACCTTCCACTACCTCGACCAGGACCCACTCCCAAGTCACCTTCTGCTACGCTGCACACGTGCCTCTTGCCTCACATCCCAAACCTGGGGCTGGCTGTTCCCGCAGGCTTCAGAGTAGCTCGCAGCTACTGCTTGGCAGCGGGAGCTCTTATTTACAAGCAGACTCCTGTGGGAGCCAGGAGGTATTTTTCCCCTTGCTCCCTGAAGAGATTATGTACTGCACGACCTGGAAACCAGTGTCATCACCTGACACACGCATGGTATTTTGGTTAGTGCTTCTCTTCAGTTCGTGAACTTCTGGCTTAGATCAGGATTGCTAAATTTTCTGCTTAACAAGAATAAAGAGGAAAAAAAAGCCCCAAAACCCCAAAAAGATATCCAGGTAAAAAGAATTTAGAAAGTATAACATAGTTTAGCACACACACACATCATTCAAAACCCTTCTAACTCAGGTTAACAAAGGAAATGCCAGCTACCTATTCAAACTTCAGAATCTTCAAAAAACATTTCAGTATTTTCTAAAATTTTATTTTTACTTTATTTCAGACAAAAATTAATATTAAATGCCAGAAATAATCTTAGTTTCAGTATGTTCTGGCCTCAATACATATATTCATTGTGGGTTTTTTTTGGGGGGAGGGGAAGAACACAACCAGAAGACGGTCAAAATAATGTTAACTCCCACTGACTCCACTAGTAACAAGTATTTAATATACAGATTTAGACTTTCAGAAGGATTTTTTTCAGAAGGACTACAGATTGCTTAGAAACATACTGTCAAATTGAAATATACTTCATTTCTAAAAAAGCAAGTTAAGTTTGTGGATAATTCTGGTATACAAACACTGTTCGAAACATAATAACAATATATTTCTTTTAAATTGTATTTTATCTGCCAAATTTTAGACTCCTTCACACATAAGTTGGCATGTTCCTCTGTGACCCTGCAAGTGAAGGAGGCAGGCTTTGGAAATCCCACTTTCATAGACTTACCCAGAAGTACAACTAGCCTACAAAAAAAAAAATCCCTGTAAGACCTCATGAATGTCTTTTATTTATGCTATTTTAATCACTTAACAGAATTAAAGCTCTTGTTACCCTAATTATTTTTATCTTAATTATGTGACTCCGTATAGCACCTCCAAGCGACACTCACGCTTCACGTGTACAGCTTAAGTTCTCCAGCTCTCCTGTTCAACAGCCACTGTAAATACTAGTTTTTACTCTTCTGTGCTGGTAAAGCCTTTTATTAAAAAAAAAATAAAATAAAAAATACCCAAACCCAAAACCTTAACCTCCTGCAACGTCAACTGAATTATTTTCTTAAGAAACAATGAATTACCTTACTAATCTCAGACTATGTGTGCCAGTTGGCTAAATTAACTGTTTATAATGACTATTCCTTTGTAACAATTAAAATCTGCATATTTATGTTACTTTCTTCTTCATTAAGAAAGTGTATTAGTGTCAAATCTTACATTTAACATTTCACTAACAATAGGGCTATAGGGCTTTCTGACCAGTGAAGCATTTCCAGTTCACTATATTTAAAAAAAAAAAAAAAGGAACTGAAAGATAGACCAACCTGTAGTCGTCATAAGTAAAAGAATCCTTTAAGGGCAGTTTGCTGGCATTAGGATGGGTCTGGGAAATTCAAGTTTCAGAAAAAGGTGAAAAGAGAAGGAAAAGAGAAATCAGAAATCAGTCAGCAGAATTTCATTATTTAGCTGCCTAACAGATCCTAACAAGAGCCAAATGAAGCAGGAGGCGTCCAGCCGCGCTACAGAGGGATCATCATGCTATTATGCTCTCATACATCACTGTCAACTTAATTTGTTGTGCCCAGCAGCCGCCATAAATCTGTTTCTTCATATTTCAAGACTGGAACCCACAGACATTGTGCAAAAATAAAAAATTTAAGGTGGACTGAGTGTGTGAAGGTAAAACAAAACCCAGCCCGTGGTGCAGGGTGGGGAAACGAATCAGACAATAAGCACACGTTAGGTTTCACCAACTTCCACGTTTTTCCTTTTCTCTCGAGTATCAGTAATGTCTTTCACAAATGCAAGTAAAAATTATACATACCGGATTTTCAGTTCTTCCTTGATACCTGTAAAGTTTTTATTCAGTAGAAGGTGCACTACATCTCCAAAACAGAACAGATGAAAATATTTAAATAGTTTCAGGGACAAACATCGGTAAGATAGCACCTACGTGAAGATATCTACACATATTCCCATCTAAAAGTGGAGCGATGCCATCTGAGAACACATATCGTAGTTGTCACTGACAAGCACAATATTTAGATTTTTAAAAGGCTCTAAAAAGATTTAATGCCTGTTATTTTTCTGATCAATTACCTTACTTAAAGTTTCAAAAATACAAGTAGCTTTAAGCCTGCACGTGCCCATTCCCTTTAGAACTTTGACCCGATTCACAAATGGAAAGCCGTAATAGCGCAAATTTTAATCTTCGGGTTCAATTAGGTCTCGGAGACGAAGGGAAGTACGCGATCAAACGGTTATTTCAGAAGACACGGCCGACTTTTTGCCTGGCGCTGTCTCTGCGGCGCCCAAGGCACGGCGCTCCGCGTAGCAGCGGTTTCTGGCTCTGGCTGCGTTCGCAGCGCACGGGCGCGGTGATTCATCATTCCTCCCTGCAACGCGCCTGCTGGCACCGCGCAGGACAGGAGGGGATGAGGTAAAAGTGGCTCAAACCGTAAATCAATTCGAAAACAAAAGCTCGCGCTCAGTGTGCAATTTTAGGCAAATTACACCTCACAAAAGACCGCCCACCGGGTGTTCGGTCCCAGGGGTCTGTCCCCGCTCCCCCACCCGCTTAACCCTTGGGACAGACTTTCTCCGGAGCGCGGCGGCACCCAGCGGTCCCGGAGGCTGCCGTCCCCCCTCCCTCGCTTCTTCCTTTTTGTGAGCAATCTACATTTCCACACGAACTTCGTCC